GAGGCCAGGTCATTGGTCTGAGAGGTTTACTTTTTCACTCTCAGAACCTCAGATTCCACATAAAGGAAAGCAAATGGCAGTGAGCAAACCTCTCATCAAGCTGTTTGGCATTGTCCTCCACACTTCAAGAAGAGGATTTCTTTCTTTCTATCTGTTTTTTAAAGCAGAGTAGCTCAAGGTTATCCAACTATTTTGTTGTTGTTGTCTTAGCACCAGTTCTGATTCACAGCGACCCTATATAGGGTTTCCAAGGAGCAGTGGTTGGAAAGACAGGGTGGCATGTACACTCTGCCCCACTTCCAAAGTGCCAAGGTTGAACTGCCACCCTTGAAGTTCAGTACTGATCCTTCAGCTCCATACCAGGAGTCCAAGTATTAGTGGTGGGAAAAGGAGGTCCCAGTTTCTTGCCCACCTCTTTCCCAGAAAAAGTCCTTCTTTTTCTGCCTTGGGAAGACATACCAGGAGCTGTAGGATCATCAGGAGTGTTGGTGAAGCTTGCTTACCTCATGGTCGTTTCCTCCTTGTTGGTGACAGACAGGATTTGTTTGTAGGGGGGCATCCCTGCTTGGTAGATGAAGCAGGTCCCAAAGTTGTAGCTGGTGAAGGAGAAATGTGCTGCGGGGTTCACGGAGCAGCCTGTGATGCTGCATGTAAATGCTGGGCCGTGGCTGATCTGCCGGGAGGGTGTAGGGACAGCGTGATTACAGGAGGTGGGCGGAAAGGGCACTGAGGGAGCTCCTGGCACTCTGCCCTCAGAGGATCCATCTGAGAGTAGGGCTGAGCATTGTTTATTTGAGAAAAGCCAGGTGGGTTACTCTGCAATCAGATCTTTCCTGGGCTCTGGTTTCCCTCTGACAGCACGGATTCAACTTGAACACTGAGGGATGAGCCAGACACTGCCTTATGACCCAACATCCACATCTCATGGCTTCCTTACTAACAGCACTCTGAATGCCTGTCAAGATGACTAGGTGAAAAGACTTGATTTTCCATCCTAGCTGTGCCATGGGACATGGTTCTGGTCAGCTATTCATCAGGCACCTTAACTATGTATGTATGAGACCTTTGTACTAGAGATAGTGGGACAGCTCCTAACACCACCACCACCAATCAGGAAAAGTAGCCGATGGAGAAGACAAGGGGAATCAGGATAATGAAACTTTCAATATGGGATGCAAGCTGTGCTATTAATGTTTGAACAATGTTCAATCGTCTCACCTTGATTTTGAGTTCCAGGCCCTTCAAGACACACTTCTTAAGTGGTTGGAAAGACAGGGTGGCATGTACACTCTGCCCCACTTCCACAGTGCCATCGATAGGTGAGAATTCCAAGTACTGCAGCAGGGCTTTGGGGCCGGACAGTTCTGTCTGGAAGCTGAAGTTGAATTTTCCAGTGTTGATAAAGCTGAATTCACATTGGACACATTCATTTAACTCCACCTGAGAGACCGAGAATAGAATTATTAAATTGAGTGAAAGAAAACCCTGGTTGTATTCTTTGATGTCAGGATATGTAACATGCTAAGGATTGAACTGTGTCCCCTAGAAAGTGGTGTTGAAGTCCTAGCCCCTACACTTGTGAATGCGCCTCTGTAATGGGATCAGGTGTTTTCTTTTGTATGTTTAATTAGGTCACATCAGAGTAGGATGGGTCCTAAACCTAATGACTTTTTGGAGAAGTGTCTCTGAAAATAAGTAGAATAGACACAGACATACACCTAGGGGGAAGACAGACTTTGTGCGAGGATTTGTGTACAAAGGAGCATCAGGGATGGACAGCAGGCACCAGAAGCTAAGAGAGAAGCCTACAGGGAGACTCAACATGGGTCAGACTGTGATTAGGAGTTTTAATATCCAGAACTGTAAGAAAATAAATGTGTTCTTTAAACCTACCCACTTGGGTGTATTTTTGTTGTTGTTGTTACAGCAGCAGCAGATCACAAAGACATACTCTGTTTGGGAACATATCTTTTGGGAAATACGGACGGCCAGTGATGCTAAAAGCAGAGCATCATTAATGCAATCAGACGTTCCAGCAAGAGCTACTCAATGGTGAGGGGCCCTTGTATTTCAAAAGTAACCTGGTAGTTTCATTCTTAGAACTCTCTTGATAAGTCTGACACCTTTTTAAAAACTATGTCTAATGTAAGCATTCATCTTTCCATCTCCTGAAAAATAAAATTAAGAACGCTTCTCGTCGTTAACTATACCCAGTCTAGAGGGAAATGTTTCTGACATGCTCCAGTTCAAGTCTCCTTGGCATTGCAACAGAAAGCTCCACTAACAATTCACCTATGGACTTCTGGTGTGGCACTGTAGGAAGAGCACTGGAGTTCAAACCACAAGGTCGGCGGTTCAAACCCTCAGAAACCCTGTACAAGGTCACTATGGGTTGGATTCGACTTGATGACACTTGACCAAAACTCCACCACCTTCCCCAGCCAGTGCAGAATTTGAGAGAGGTGGTAAGGCTCTCCCACCTTTACCTCATAAAAGTTGATAATATTGGTCTGGCTGGGAGTAAACAAAGTGACCGAGCCAGTTCTGTCTTTGCACTTGATCCCCACATTCATAGTGTAGCCCTCAGCCTTGACATTCAAAGTCAGAGGGTGGGCTTTTCTTTTCACATTGCAGATCAAATTGAAGTTCACATCTCCTTCCTGCTTAGGTGTGAAGAAAATATCAATTGGCAACCTGATTGGGGAACAAGACAGATGATTAGCTGATGGGGTCAAACTGCTAAAATCTGCTAAAACATATGGGCCCAGTGGACTAACAGAGACACTATGAGGAAAAGGCAGTATAATCCCAAATCATGATGAATGTTTATAATTTTATCAGACAAGGCTAGGTACTGCTCTGGGGAGTCATAAATGCAATAGATAGCCAGGAAAAGAATACAAGAGAAAATATTACAAACAAGGGCTTAGAATTCTCAGTGCTACACAATTTATCAGGAAAGTGACCCACAGGGAACACAACACACAGGACAGAGATGGGAGTTATTAGTATCTGAATTTTAGAGTTAGAGAGACTTTAGAAATGGACCACTCTAAGGGAAACATTCTCCTGACTGGCAGACCTGGGACATCTGCCATTTTGGGAAGCAGCAGTCCTGAGGATTTCCTCTGTCTTTATACCTGGACAGGGCTGGGACCCAGCCTTCCATGGGAGATACGACCAGGCTGTTGCTGAAACCTTCCGAATACCGGGAGCTGTCCTGGAAGGCAAAACTGAACCCCTGCTCTTCCTTGTTGATGATCTGGACAGTTTCCCTGGCTTCTCTGCCTGCAAAGGAAACAACCGAGCCCTTTAGTCTGCTCTCTGAAGTCTCTCGGGAGACGCTGCTCCACATGGCAAAGGAAGCCATCGTAGAAGACACTCTACAACTTCTTTTCTTTCTTCCAAACTCCTTAGCCATTGATGACTTCCCTTCAGTCTGTTCCACAAGTGGTCTTCCCCCAACCCCCTCTCCTCACTAGGGGGACTCCACACCTTCCTCCTGGAACTTTACTCCATCAAGCTCCAAAGCAGTGAGTAACAGCGAATAGTCAGGAAGGATGTATTTGTTAGAGTTCTGACAGGAAACACAGAATACCCAAGGCCCAACTTCAAAGAGTTCAAGGCTGAAAAGATTTACAGAGGCATGGGCACAGTTAACCGGCCAACCAGGAAAGGTGAAGCCCTCAGACATTAACAAAAGCAAGAAGGCTTTACCATTCCTGGTTCTGGAAGAGCAAGGGAAGAAACGGTGTCCTCAGAATGGAGAAGAACTGTGACAGGACTGAGGAGCCACCCAGCAGGAGAAGACACTGATGGAGTAAAGTTCTAGGAGGAAGGTGCTCTATACTTCGCTCTGGTGACTGAGGAGGCCACAAGAGGGTGGAGCTTCCATCAGCCTGGGGCTTCCATCTTACTTATCACTCTATCATACATTGAGAGAAAACCCCTTGTACTAAGGTAAGGAGCCCTGGGGATGCAGTGGGGTAAGCACCGGACAGCTGTTAGGTTGGTGGTTCAAATTCTCCAGCAGATGAGGCTGTCTGTTTCCGTAAAGATTTACAGGCTCAGAAAACTCAAGGAGTAATTCCACTCTGTTACTAGGAGTCAGAATTGATGGCAAGGGAGGTTGGTGACCTGATTTTCAGTGAATTTAGTTTATTCTGACTGATAAACTACATCCTATGTGTTTCAAATTTAATCTATCACATTAAGCTTCCTAAAACAACCCTGACCACATCTCTTCTCAGTTCAGAATCCTTCAGTGGCTCCCCACTGCTTACAGAAATATGCACACACTTTTCATGATTTAGACCCATCCACCTTTGCAGCCTATGCATGCATCATCCTATGTCAGCTTAGCCTGCTTGCTCTTCCTAGACGAGGCCTTGCAGATAGATCCGTATCTCCTTGCCTTTGCCTATCCTGCATCCCGAGCCTGGAGCACTGCTGTAGATACTATTTCATACCTATCAGTCATGCCTGCCTCGATCTCCTAATAATAGAGCCCTGATTTGTTCAGGAAGATGAAGAGAAAAACTTTTGTCATCTCTCCCCTTTCTTTCTGCTTAAATGTGGTATTGATGTCTAAGTGCAAATAAAAGTGAAAAACCAAGATGGTTGGCGATGTTGTCCTTAACATCATTGAACTGCTGAGTTAAGGCCAGTAGCGGCCTTTCTCCAGACTTCATGCTGTGATAAAGAAACAGACTCTTACTTAAGCATTCTTAGTTTTTGTTTTGTTACTTACATCAAAATACATTTCCAATCTGCTACAAATACCTCTCATCTCTATTTAGGAGTCCTGGTGTGGTGCTGTGGGATAAAGCTCTAGACCGCAAGGTTGGTTTGAATCACAAGGTCAGCAGTTCAAACTCACCAGCCGCTCTTAGAAACCCTATGTTGTTGTTGTTAAGTGCCGTCGAGTCGGTTCCGACCCATAGCGACCCTGTACAGGGTTCCAAGGGTGTAAATCTTTACGGGAGTAGAAAGCCTCATCTTTCTCCCGCGGAGCGGCTGGTAGTTTCGAACCGCTGACCTTAAGGTTCGCA